AATTGTTAGCTAACCATAAAGAAGAAGTGGATTCGAACTAAACATGAGTGTTTTTAATTATTGATTGAATTTGAGTTAAGTTAGTCTGATCTTGCAAAATCGGATAAAAAACCTTTTTAATTATTGTTTGATTTTAGATTAATTTAGAGTAATTATTTTAGCTAATTAAATCTGTTCCCTGCGTTCGACCCCAACTTACTTAAACTACACTACAATCCGAGTAGGTACAATGCCTAGGTGCAAAGTAGTTAGTTAAGGTAGTTAGGTTATAAATATTAAAATTAGGTGTAGCTATTTGTACGCATCACTGACCAACCCTCTACATCAAAAGTTCATAAATGTGACCATGTGGTTGTCGAAGACTGTGAGACTGATAGGGATGAGGATGATGTTCTGATAGAAACAACTATTCCCCGAGTTGTTGTCGAACAGGTTTATGAGGAAACAAAACAGTTCGAAAAGGTGATGAAAGAAAAGGGTCCTCATTATCTAGAATCCAACACAGTTGTCTATCCGAATTTTAAATGCACCGATGAAGTTGTGTTACCTAATCAAGTGTTTGTTACCATTGGAAATGGTGACAAAGTGCATCCTGAAATCAATAAAAATAGGTGAGGAAGACAACAAAGATGCAACGAAATAAGGGTTCTTTTCTAATTAAAGCACGGTTGAAAATACCCTAAACAAGAAATCAACGACTTTTCAAAGACAAAAACTGAAACGAGTTTGGGAAGTTAAATCAGAAAAATCAAAAGTTGATAATCAAACAAATGAACCAGTTTCGAAAACTCAGAAAACAAAAGCACAAATTTTCAATGAGAATGTTCAAAAAGTTGCAAAAGAGGAAGGTGTTTGATGTCAAAAGCACGAAACAAAGTCTATTGGAAGAATGTCAAAACTTTTCAAAAACAAAAAGTTTTTAAGCAAAAACCATCTGAACAAGTTAAGACGTTTTCTCAAGATAAGACTTTTGTTTAAAATAAGTCCAATCAAAAGCAAAATGATTTTCAAAAGGACCAATTTAATGTTCACAAACCAGTTCGAACACTAATTTTTCAAACACAAAGAAATAAAAATTTTGTACAAAACCAACATCCAAGGAGTTTTGTTCCAAATCCTCAAAGTGAAAAGTTTTCTCAAAAGAAATTTCAAAGAAATGTTGTTCAACGTAATGAGCAAAGAAAATTCAATCAATTTCAAGGTCAAAGAAGTTTTTCACAAGGACAAAAGGTTTTTCGTCGAACATCGGTTGGTTATAATATGCAATATCAAAATCGATTTCATAATTCTCCAAATCCATCTGTTTCAAAACAATCTTTTCGAAAACAAAATTTTGAAAAAATTGGAAGTAAAAGGAAAGAAACCTGAACCGTTCAAACCAACAAAACCTCATTTTCCAAATCCAGAATCGAAGCAGAAAGTCAAAGCTTCGTTTTTCAAAGGGAGAAATGATGTGAAGAATATTAACCACTGGCTTGAAGGCAAAGGGAAGCAATACCAATCGGGAAAGTTCTCTGAAGAGCAAATTAAGTATGCCTACGAAAGCTACTTGAACGAGTCACAAAATGGTAGTTCATCATCACTGGAATCGAATCCATCAGTGAAACAGTGGAAAGAAATACCCAAGAAAAAGGTTGATTCAAAACGAACGGTTGATGGAAAAAGGAAAGTCAGTGTCAAACCTAAACCACTGAATGATTACATTCCAATGCCCAACTCTGTCGAAGTTGACTAATAGATAGCTTAAAGTCGAAAATTCAAAATTAGGTACTAGGTTCTTCATTTCACCATGCATTTCAAACTAATATCCATGGACCCAAAAAGTCTTGGGGTAACTAAATTCTTTTAATTGATCGCATGTACTTTGTGACGAGCAATACGATGAACATTGGTATATTGATAGTGGTTGCTCTCGTCACATGACAGATCGAAAGGAGAATCTGCGGGATTTTAGAAGTTTGGATAATGTTGGAGTTGTGAAGTTTGGAAACAACTAAAAATTCAAGGTAAAAGGTTATGGGAAAGTAACGAATGGGAAGTTTATAGTTAACCGGGTGGCATATGTCGAAGGTCTTTAGCACAACTTGATAAGTGTTTCACAACTTGTTGTGGGCACTACCAATCAAGTAGTCTTCGATGAAGAAGGAAATGTCATCTCGAATAAAGAAACAAATGAAGTTTTGCTAAAATCGAAAAGGAAAGGTGGCATGTTTACACTCGACATGAAGCCAATTGTCGATGTTCCCTCTGTTTGCTTACCTTCAAAAGTCTCATCTGATCTCAGTTGGTTGTGGCATCGAAGACTCTCCCATCTGAACTTCAAGAATCTTAACAAACTGGTTATACACGACCTTGTTTGTGGCTTACCAGTATTAAAATTTGATAACGATTCGTTATGTGCAACATGTGAACAGGGAAAGCAACATCGTCAAGGTCATCCCATGGTCATCGACTCAAAGATCATCGAACCTCTGGAACTTCTTCACATTGACCTTTGTGGACCTTCGACTGATGAGACTCTCAATAAGAAAAAGTACATATTGGTCATTGTTGATGACTTTTCAAGGTTTAACTGGGTTTTCTTTCTTCGTCAGAAGTCTAAAACTGCTCAAGTAAAGATCGATTTCATCAAGAACATCAAATTGAGTTTGAGGAAGAAAGTTAGAAGAATCAAAAGTGATAATGATTCAGAATTCAAGAATCAGACTCCTGATTCATTCTTGGCTGAATTAGGAATTTCACATAAAATTTCAACTCCTTACACACCGCAACAAAATGGTGTCATCGAAAGGAGGAACAGATCTTTGTGCGAAGCAGCAAGAACAATGTTGACATATGCAAACTTGCCTCAATATCTCTGGGTAGAAGCAGTCTCAATAGCGTGTTTAACTCAAAACCGATCATTCATTCATCGTCGTTCTAACATCACCCCTTATGAAATCATAAACAATCGAAAACCGAATGTGAAATTTTTCCATGTTTTTGGTTGCAGGTGCTTCATCATGAATCTCAAAGATATCTTTCAAAATTTCAGTCCAAAGTGGATGAAGGAATATTCTTGGGATACTCGCACAACTCTGTCGCATATCGGGTGTTGAATAAGAGAGCAAGGAAGATTAAGGAAACATTCAATCTAACTTTTGATGATTATCACATCAAATGTGTCCAACAGACTTTCGAACAAAGACCAATTATTTCAGAAACGAATGATGAGTCAGCTATTGTAAACTCTTTCGATATTGATTATGAATTAATTTTTGGCGTTCCAGATAGAGCAATTGTTACTGAAGTTCATGTTGAAGATAATCGGATTCCTAAAGCATCGAAGCATTCTGATTATTCGACGATGACTAGGGAAGAAGATGATTCTAAATCTACCTCAACATCAAAAGTACATGTCGAACGTCTACCTATTTTGCAGGATAGTCAAGTGGAGGGGGAGCACTTGAGTTCGATGTCACAAGATCATATTGATAATTCAATTGTTGAGGGGGAGCAGGATAGTAATGAACATCAGTTCGAGGAACTGAGCCAACTTTAGTGTGGTTACGTAGAAGAACATCTTTTGTTTCCACCTCTTGAAGTTAAAACTAGAAAACTTCGTTGGTCTCTCAACATGATTAACCATGGAGTTTGGCACATGTGTGGTAGCATTTTGGTTCACAGTTGTATTAGTATTTTGGTTTGAGGAACCTTCCACCATTCTGAAAAGATTAGTCAAACGAAATTGTTTACACAAAACATAATATGTTTACATAAAACAGATATAACATGATTAGCATAAATAAAAACGAATAAAGAAGAAAAAATCGATTTAAATCGAAACAAACTCGATTGAAACAATTTAGCGAAAATTTGCTTAAGATTGTTGGTTTTCGTTAATAAATTTGAAAAACAAATAATTAGTAAATAATCACGTCGATTAACTGATGCTCGTGTTGGACACGATTCCCTTAAACAAAAGTGTCGTTTGTTTAACCATGCAATTGTAAAAATGTGGCTTGCACGGGTTCGGAATTTCGGAGTTGCATTCATATCTGCATGTCACGCCCACATACGAGTTTGTTGACTACAAAATCCATGATTTGCAACCCTTGTGCGTGCATAAGTATTGGAGTAAAACCATACATAGAAACTTGTAAACCCATTGCACATCTATGCTTATAAATCCACTAAGAGTTTGCTTTTTTTCCTATGTAAGACACATGCTTATAACCACATTATTTCCAAATACTCATCTTTTGAGTATCGACGTCTCATTCATACATTCTCTATTTTGGACACGACATATATCGTTTCGAAGCTCCCACGGAGGAAAACATAACCCACTAAATATTAATAAAATATACAATATATATTTATATTTAAATATGTCCAAATTTAATAAAGAGATAATTTTTTTATTAATTTTTCCAACAAAAAGGTCTAAAACCTAACCTTTTTACAAACACATCACCAAATTTGCAGTTTTTCTATTTGATGACATCAAATAACCTTACCTTGGTTTCATAACAAAAATTTCACGTTCATCACTAATCTACTACACGTCCGAACCGAATCTTGCAAACTTTAGTAGCAAAAAACACTCATCATTTCTCTATCTGGTCCGGAATCCGGATATACTCATCCGATCGTGAACTATGCCGGCCTTAACGATTAGCATGATCACGTGGCTCACCTTGAAACGCTAAATCCCCAATTTTGTCTGCTCTCATTCGGCCATTTCTATGCTTCTCAATCCTCGCCCAATCAGTCTGATAGCAACTTTCCTCTTCCCCTCAAACTTCCTTCTTTCGGCTTTTCGTTTCTGTACCCACTATTTAATACAAATATCTCTTCCACTTGCTTCTATATTTCGTCTCTGTATCCAATTATTCCAACGAATAATGAAAATTATGATGATTCGAGTCAAACAAAATTGATTTTCAATTAGTGGGTCTCACTTTTTGTCGGCCAGTAAGACTATATACCCACCATTATAAAGACTCCATAGGATGAGCTTTAAATGAAACTTGGATTTCATCGAAGGGTTTCTGATTTGGTCTAAATGAAATTCCAGATATCAAATAAGGATAGTTTAAGGAGATTCTTTTAGAGGTTTCTCTGGGGCATTTCGTCGAATGGCTGGTAAGATACCTGGACTCGAAGTCGCTCGTCGGAGGAGGTTCCATGGAGGTACTGGGTGGTCTGATTCTTCGTTTACCATCAATTCTGCTCTTGGGTATACACGAAGCAGAGTTTCTTACCATACCCATCTCACCTCCACTCCTTGCTCGGTAAAGATTAACAGAATATTCAGTAACTGTTTACATTTCTTAGCCAGAATTGCTTCAGATTCGCATATTAAAAAGCTTACTCTGGTTAGATAGTAGATAAACATGTGTTATGTATCTATTACAAATACACACCGATATGTGTTTGATCTAATTAATCCATCAACTAATTAGTTAAAAATGTTTGAGAACAGCATAGAAGCTCAGATGAAGATGGGAAGCTAGGATGTGTAGCAAGAAAAGCCAAACAAAGACTTGATGGAAAGCTCAGAGGCCACTGGAAATCTGAAATAAGCAGGTGATAGTTTGATAGATAGTCTTAGGTGTATGTTAGCATATTATGATATTAGTAGCTAACATGCGCTTCGTACATCCTCAAAATCATCACCAACTCATTGCTTATTTTTATATTTTAATATATATTTTCTTTGTCACTTTTATAAATTGTAAAAATATACATTAAATTTGTTAATTTTTTTGAAAATTTGCCTAAACTTGTTTGTGACAATAACGTATAAATTATACTATTATATAATTATGATTAAGTTTGTTTTGGGCTAGTTGCTGTTTTTAATTTATTTCGTCTTCTTACCGTTTAAAAAAATATAATTATGATCAAATAAGTTATTTGTGTTTTATAATTCGAATTAAGTTTCATACTATTATAGCAACCTTTATCAGATTAAGATTAATTATCTGATAAATTAAGATTAATTTCAGTATAAATGATTAACTAATATCAAATTAATGTACAATATGATATAACACGTAATAATTATTATATTTAAAATAATTTTTATAAAATAAAATAGAATAGGATTGTATAAATCTGAATTTTGAATCACCAAAACTTGACAACTAAAAAATTGACACTATTTTGATGTAAACTAACAATATAACACCACGTTATGCTAATTTTTATACCATAATATTGTCAAAAAAAAATGTTGAGTAGGAGCATATGTAAGAAATGATGCTAAAAATGAGATTTGGTGTAGCTTTGTAGATGCCCTCAAAAACCAAAGAAAAAAAGTTGTCATCTTTGGTTACCCTTTTTTGTTTTCTAACATGGGTTTCCATCTTTGTGACTGATTTTGCATCCAAAATAGCCAAGAAAAGTCAGAAATTGGGACAAAGCCAAGTACTTGTATGGAGGTGGGAGATATGCAAATGGAGATTTTTGGTTTGAAAAAGAGTGGATCAAAGAGATTTAGTTGGGGTATCTTAGGGTTGAATTGGAAGTCTTCGGATCAAAATGAGTGTGCGGTTTGTTTGGAAAAATTCAAGTTCAATGAGAAGTTGACTCGTATGCCTTGCGCACATAGGTTTCATTCCATGTGTTTGTTACCTTGGTTGAAGAGCAATGCACATTGCCCTTGTTGTAGAACAAGTGTTTTGGGTTCGAATTGATTTATTTAGTTGTTTGTAGTTTATAATCTAGCTTTTGTAGTATTAATCTTGTAACGTTTGTGAGTAAAATGTATGTCATGTTAATATTTGCTATAAAAAGAATGTGTAATCTAGAAAAGTTACTTTGGGGCGGTTTTATATATTACTAGACGAATTCCCACGCGTTGTGCGGCGCAGGTTAAAAATATATTGTTAGAATATAGTTTTCAGACACCTTTTAGTTAATTTAATTCATCAATTTAGGTTCTTTTATTATTATTATATTTAATGTTTTCCTTTTAACTAAGTTAAAAAATATATATTGAATTTTTTTAAATATTATTTGATATTTTACTTTAGGTTTTAAATTTTACACTAAATTTTTAAGCTTATTTGATATATTAATGTAGGTTATTTATTTAACTATATATTGAAGTTAACAAATTAAGTATATCATATTGATAAGTCACAAATTCTTCCATTTATGATAATGTTTACAACTAAAAACATATTTAAGTTAATAAATTAAACATATTGTATGAAGATATGAAAAGTTTGGAGTTTCAAATGAATGTGAGGAAAGAAAAAATGTTTCCTTTATAATATAGTATGATATGATATGATATGATATGATATGATGATTATAGTTTTAATTTTAAGTCATTGTGATATATACAATTATTTGATAATTTTATAAACCGTTTAAAATTATGTAAATTATATATCAAACGTATGATAATCTATATATAACGGGTAACAAAATATATGAACAAAAATATGAACTACAACTTTTAGTAACATAAAAATACAAAAACATCTATTATAACATTTGTATTAAAAAATATATATATACAACGAATAATAAAAAATATGAAAAATAAACATTACAACTTTTAATAACATAAAAACACTAAAATATTTATTATAACATTTATATTAACTTTTCATATTTAAATTACAAATCTCTTCAAATACATTAATGTTTGAGTAAATTACACGAACGGTCCCTATGGTTTAGGGTAATTTACGCGTTTGGTCCTTAACTTATTTTTTTAACTCGGAAGGTCTCTACTGTTTGTTTTTGTTACGCGTTTGGTCTCCGTCTTACCTAAAAAAACTATTTTGCCCTTGATTTTTTAATTTATTTAAATAAACACACCCCCAACCCCACCCCCTCACCTTACCTTACCTACCCCACCACTTTTCCCTATCTAAATAATAGTCTTTTTAAGTAAGATAGAGAGCAAGCGCGTAACAAAAACAAACATTAGGGACCAAACACGTAAAAAAACAAACAGTATGGACTTTCCAAGTTAAAAAAAATAAGTTAGGGACCAACCGCGCAAATTACCCCAAACCATAAGGACCATTCGTGTAATTTACTCTTAATGTTTTAATAAGCAAAATTTCACAACCTTATAAAAGAAAGGAAAATAAAAGGTTATTAGTGGTTACTAATTAATAATCATAAGTTAAAAACTCTTGAGTTATAACTAATAAATATACATAAATTAGAAAACTCTTGAGTTGTAGTGTGAATTTCAAATGAATACGGTACTTGGAAATGTGTATTTATTATTATTATTATTATTATTATAATATTCGTCTAAATAATTGGTTTTGATGCATCATTTTAATCCCTTCAATTATTAAACATAAAAATATTTAATTATAAATTTATAACATACATATGTGCATATATATGTTAAACAAATCACATATAATATATATTTTCGTAAATATCATATGTAATTCTTTTCCTAGTAATATGGATAAATTACTTTCATATGAAGAACATATAAGGACAAGTCATCATAATTACATATCAAATGTTAAAAATTATGTTATCTTTTAAATATTGTCTTGTAAATATGTTGTGTAGGATAACCCAACAAAAAATAATAGAAAATAAACATAATCAAAATAGAAAAACTACAATCAAATAAATAAGAACATTGGGTGGTTGAATATATAAATAAAAATGTTACATAAATATACGTTTAAATCAAAAGAAAAAACTAACATTCGTCTACTTTGCTCAAACAAAAAAAACCTATATCTGTTTTCTGAATCTTCTTTCTTTATTAACATCATTCAACCATATAAACTTGATGACAATTCTTCACTAACCTGCAATCAAAATGTTTTTCTTGAAAAAGAAGAATGAGAAAGATATTTCAAGCAAAACATTGATGTTTGGAGAGTCACATTCAAGATTGAGTAATACATACAAATCACATATAAAGATCAAATGAGAAATTAAATATAAAGAAAGAATAAAAAAGCTTCATTTGTTTTGGTTGAAAGAAAAAATCATATTACAATTACCATCGATGCGAATAACTCACTTCTTCAAATCATCATATTTGGATCGTGAATGCTTCAACTATATGAAAACTTTTGAATCATAATATCTTCAACCAAATGACGACTATTTATAAGAAAAATATACTAATATAACTACATATATAATAAATGTGAAAGGGTGTGGGGATTTCAAATGCATGAGGTGTTGAATTTATAGAGTGTGTGATTTTCTTGGAATGAGATTATGTGTGATTAATTACTTTGAAGGTGAAAGAGTGTGCGGGTTTCAAATGCATGAGGTGTTGACAAATTTTTATGGGGTTTCAAATGCATGATATTCGAGAAAAAATGTTAGCTTTATAAGTATTTATGATAGTATAGTATAACAAAACGATAGTTTATTATCTAGTTTTTTTGAAAACTCCATTAAAAATGAACTCATAACCGTTTTTACAAACCAACACTATTTTTTATGTAAAAAATGGTGTAATCTACATCAACCCAATCTTATGCTTTTATGAATAGACAGAATAGTGTAATATTAAATTTGTTATTTCTACTATTTATTAATATCAAAATGTTAAAATTTTATTTGTAATTCGTGGGGCTCTAAGTTTAAATTTATACATATATCTCATTTATTTCAGTACTTTTAAGTTAAATGTATAATTACATTTTAATTGTAATAAATTGTTCTTAAAATAAATAATAATTGTGTTATAAAAGTATTGTTTTTATTTAATATAATCTTTGTTTTAAGAATGTAATAATTAATTCAAATTACTTGATATATAACTAAAGATGTACAACAAATTTATAAAAACTAATAAATTCAAAAAGTATTTTTGAAAATCCAAATAAATTAGTGAAAGAATTATTTGAAATGCGCTTTTTTACAAAAATGATGGTATATCGGAAATAAATCACCATTTATATTATTTTTGTTTAAAATAAAAGAAAAAAGAAAAAAAAAAAGCTAGATTGAAAGTATTTGTTATAAGAAATGATTAGACAAAAATGGCCACAAATATATCAATTCAGTTGTCTATCTTATCTTTTTTAATTGCAAAAGTTATAAGAAAAAGTAAAATAAAATAAAAATAAAAAAGAGGGAGTCCAAAGCGATAACTTCTAGATCTTGATATTATCCGATTAAAGTCGTGTGCATATAAAATACCCTGGATGACTTCAAGTCTTAAACCTTTAACTTACAAAAATTATGACATCATTTGAACTCTTAACTTTCAGTTGATGATATATTTTTATCAACTACGGATATTAGGTTAATAGGTTATATGCCATTTGGTTGTACCTAAATTTTTTTTTAGTTACTTGTCCATTATTGTAAATTTGTAATTTAAACAATTTGATAATACGTATCTAATATAATAATTTTTGTAAACCTTGTATCAAAAGAGTAAGACAAACACGTAACGCACGCATATAAGACATAAGAAAGTTACATTTTTTTTTTGTAACTTTGTAAAAAAACAAAATATATATATATATATATATATATATATATATATATATATATATATATTTTAAAGATATATTTTGTTCGTTCAACGGTGATGATATTGGTGATGATATTATTGATGTTATTATTACATGTCCTTTTTTTGGTAAACAACAAATGTCCTAGGATAGGTAGAAATTATTTTATTTGGTATAATTATTCCTATCAAGCGTCACCACATAAATTTCTAGAGATGTAGTACTGTAGTTATTGGTAAAATCTGTCATTTAACTATCTATCTCAGTTGCCACATTTTGATCCTCTTAACTTTCAGTTTTTACTTATTGTCATCTTTCTTTTTGGTTCATTAACTTTTTTTATTTGAAATATCAAACTTATAAACATAATATACAAAGTAAACAAAAATAAAACCCAGGGACAATACATGGGTCCACGATGCCCTGGGCGAGTCTAATAATAATGTCTATTTGTTTGTGTCATCCAAAACACAATACACATAGAACAAAATTTTATAAAGGGATAATGATTTTAAAGAGTAATATATTTTTTGATTTGTATATATTTAGTTATTAAGTTTTTTTTTCGTTCATATTTACCCCTTCAACTTATTAAACTGTACACATTCAGTATTTATGACAGGTAAACTGAAAAAAAAATGTCTCGATAAGGTACTATATTTCTCACTTTGTACACATTTAGTCCTTAATATTTTTGTACATATTCAGTCTTTAATATTTTTTTTATAGCAAAATAAGCTTTTATTGTTTTTGTACATATTCAATACTTATGACCAATTTCTTTAGGTTTTTCTCACGACATCTTACGTGGGACAATAATTAATAAGTTGTTCGGGGTTGTTAATGTTTATGGTCACCGCAGTCTCGGCTGCTTGGTTGCTTAGGTGTTATGGTTTGGCTTAGGTCTTGTGTTCTGAACGTCGTAACTTCTTCATATGATTTCAGATTTTAACGATATTTATATCCACACGTTCGTATTTGAGTCTATCACAACTTTTATTTAGATTAATCCCGTAAAAATTAATATATTTTTGCTTACGAAGGTACATGGATAGTGATAGTGATCTGATTTAAAGATTCAATGAGATATATGCCATTAGTATATTAAGATATTGTGAGGCATGTAAGGACTATGTTTATGCTTATGTTTCTTGTATCAATTATGAAATCCTAAGTTTTTAAATAATCAATGAAAAACATTTTTTCGGAAATACTTTTTATGAGACAAATTCCGCAATTATAAATAAACTCTGTTTTAAAATAAAAATAAATAATAATGTAT